CTAAAAAAAAAAATAAAATAAAAATAAGGACACCCCACTATTCTATGAGAAAAACACTGCAGAGCCCGGCCTATGGCATAAGAGTTTTATTATTCTCTCCATGTTCTTATTTTACTACTACTACTACTACTACTACTACAGCTACAAAAAAAAAAAATCCCAAATTCTAGCCAGACAATCTCTACCTGTAATCTTAAACTGGATTACTCCTTTCTTACATATTATCAGCAAATACTCAAGACTTTGCAAGCCAAATCAGGGTCTCATTTCTGTCCCTATTACCCATTACATTCAATCGACTGAACAGGGGTAACCAAGTGCACTGTCTTAGGTAACAGCGTGGTTGAGGATGCACGAGGAATGAAGAGCGGGTAACCAAGTGCACTGTCTTAGGTAATGGCCGAGGATGCACGAGGAATGAAGAGTTCCTTTCTGCTACCACTCCAGTTTTAACAGGAATAACCACAATAAACCTGGGACTTAGCAAGGAAGTTTGCAAATATGATTTTAGAATCATATTTGCAGGAGAGCTAGAAGGTGATACTTTCTACACCATCACTTTTCAATGGAACAACAGTTAATTAGATGTTTGCGACAAGGCCACCTTCACTTGGTTTCCTACTCCGCTATCTCCAAGCCCAGCAACATGTGACATAGCACTCAAAAGAGGTGATAAATGATGCAGATGGGAGCACCCATGTTTTGTTGTGCTCCAGTTTATTGTTCACAGATTATTCCAACTATAAAATCTGCCCTTAGGATAATTTTCCTTCATATGTTTAATAAATAAATAAATACATATAAAAATAAACAAAGACAACATGAAGACCCTCTTTACCTCTCTAACTCCCCCACAATGCATTTTAGGAACTCATTTCAGAAACTCATTCTCACTACCTCCTCGCACCAGAGCAATAGCAGTGAACCACCAATCTTGCACTATCCTCCTGAGGACATTCGTGTGCATTTCGGTGACAGGCCCATCCCAGCCGAACCGAAAGACATGCAACATTTTCAGGGCACTTACGGCTGGCACAGCTTGATAAGGTCCTGGTCAGTGGTGCCGGGTGGAAGGCCTCGAATGTACAGGTTGGTTTTACTCAACTGTTCGCCGCTGCTGTTGTTGCTGCTGTTGTTGCTGCTGTTTGTGCTGGGGCTGGGAGGAGCCATGGGGTGAGGAGCTGGTGCATAGGACTGCTGAAAGCAAGCACACAAAAACAGAGGTCTTGGTTGGAAGCCAAAAGCATCACAGATTCCGGTGCATTACTAAGGGAATTCAGGATTAAGGGCGCTCTTGCCCTGCCCTCCCTCTGCCCAGCCACCCGCAGTGCTCGTTCCCAACCCTTCGCCTGGGGCTACCCTGCCCAACGTGAAGGGGAGCCAATTCGGGTGTTAAACGTGTTTTTGACTTCTTAACCTGAAATTCAAACACCTCGTTTCATACAAAACGAGGCTCTGAAATGACGGCTGCACTAGAGTAGTTTGTATGAAACACGTAAGTTAAATGTAAGTTGCTTCAAGAAGGTTTTAAGACAATTTTAAGCAATTTCAAGGCTGAACAAGGAGTTTCTAATCATGTGAGGCATCCAGTACAGGTGACAAAGGGGTAGGTAACCCTGAGAGGAAGCAACAAGAAGCCTGTGGAAACCCTGGTGTCACGGTGTCACCATAGAAAACAGGGCTTGGGAGAGATGGGTAATTCTGATCATGCTAGAGAGCAGCCCTTGTCCACAGCCCTACCTCAGTGCTTGCATCTACCATATCAGAGCCTTAGGAGATGGATATATTTAAACCAGCAGCTTGAAATGGTTTCAAACAAGTCCCTTCATGCAGGGGAATCAAGAAATGACAGAGCACTTAGGGGGAGCATAAGTGATAGGTGAAGCTGGGCTTCACCAGAGAAACTCAGAGGCTTTGAGGAAATACATAAAACACCGTGTCTGCAAAGATCCCTTGCTTCCTTTCCTGCCCTTCTTCCCCACTTCTTTCATCTGAACCAAGATCGGGAGCATCCCACTAAGCACCAGAACATACAAAGTGCTCTGTGATCTGACCTGGTTATAATGAGACAAAAGTAGGACCCATTAAATAGGGAAAAAAAAAACAGCCTGATAAAAAACCCAGCGTGCTCCTCATGCTGGCAGGCAATGACATTCCCTCTGGCGGGCAGCGAGGGAGAAGGGATGAGGTGCTTCCATCGCCACGGGACCCATTAAATAGGGACGCTGCCGATCCGAAGCACTTGGCGCACGCGGACGGCACGACTTGGCGTGCGCGTCTTCCCGCCGCGCGCTCCCCATCGCCGCGAGCCCCTTCCCAGAGACAGAGGCGCGAAGCAGCGGGACGGCCTCGGCAGCCACTGCTAACGCGGCCGGGAGCACAACCTCCGGCTTGGACCTGGAAGCGCCAGGCTTAAAATAACCCGGCTGAGGCTATATTTAAACCTCCGGGCACGCCGGGGCCACGGCGGACGCAAAGGTAACTGCAGCGAGCGTCTGGCCCTAGCTCAGGAAATAGCCCACAGTTATTTTGTGCGTTGCAACATCCTGAGCGCCGGCGATATAGAAAAATATAAAGCCAAGGCAGCATTTTTACTGCTTTATCTCTATTCCTCCGTTTGTACGTTTTACATACGCGCTGAATGCATGTAAATGCTGCAAGACAGAGACAGAATTTTTTCCAAGGCAATACAGTGCTGTATTCTTTAATAATTAATTATTGGTATTATACATGTCATAGCAGGGGATAATGAGTAAATGGCCTATTCTCACACCAAGTTAATAAGCTAGGGGGAAGAAAAAAGAAAAAAAAAGTGGAAATACACCTTTAGAATATAAAGAGCAATTTTCACTCTATTAAAAGATCTTTATCCTCACACAGAAGAAAGCACTAGGGGCCTAATTCTAATTTAAGCTTAGGCCATTCTATCCCCCTTGGCCAGCTGTAAGGGGACCTAGAAGCGCACCAGAATTATACTTGCACTGATTTTAAGGCCACAGCTCTAAAAAAACCCTTCGCATTCATTGCGAATGAGGCCACAGGATAGGTTTTTCAAGCAAGACCAGCTCAGACAGCCGCCGAACACAAATGTCCCTGCTCTCCACAACACCCAGAGAGGAGCTCTGAGGTGGGTAGAGGGGCAGCCACACTCTGCTTCGGAGGGCAACAATCTGCTCAGACCCACCAAAACTACCAGCCTGAACCCTCTTCACTAACAAACCTCAACCACCGCAGCCTGTAGTAATTTCCATGCACATCCCAAGCCCCAGAATAGTGTCCGCAGAAGGCTATAAAATTGCCTGCACCAAGGCTGATGACATCTTCTGGCCAGCTGCCAGGCTAAAAGCTTCAGCGCAGAAGCAGGCTTTGAGTTCTGGTTCCTTGAAGCAACGAGTATATGACGGATGGCAGGAGGATGCGTTTCGCCTCCAAATGAGGAAAGGGTCTGTTCGTTAATCTCTGTGTAATAACCACAGTCAAAGAAGTGACTGGAGACCTGAGGAGGATGCCAGGTGTAGACCACTTCCAACCAGCGTCTGGCCAATGGCCAGGAGGGCGCTCACTACCTGGGTGCTGGGCACGGACATCACTTGACATCTCTCTCAAGTTCTCTTTTAACTTTGCCACCGCAAGAGCCACAAAGAGCCTATCAGTCCAGGCTGGATCCAAACCCTGTGACACCAGTTACAGAAAGCCAAGAGAGAGTAGAAAAAAAAACTGCAGGAGAAAAAAAAAAAAAAAGGCAAAATCTATCTGCTTTCACTTCAAAAGGGAGCTGCGAGTCAGAGCCAGCTTCACTGCTAATTTTTCAAAAAAAACAGTGCGCCCGACTCACTTTTCAGTTCCTATGCTTCATTATTCATGTGGGGAGATCCAACTGGTCTGTAGATCATTCTAAGCAGGCAATTAGTTTAGCATGGCTGGCTAATAGGATTGTTTCTTTGAAAAATGAATGAAACTTCTCCTTTTTTATTATTTAAAAGCAAGAAGTTACCGCGCCTAACGCTTAGCCAGCCCTTGGGAATGCACCCTTGCACTTAAGCCCTTGCTCTGGGCCTCCTGAAACACAGCGGCCCACACAAGTGCATGGAGCTGAGCACACATGAGGAGACACCTTGGTCTTTCTTACTCAATAACCCCGAAATGCTGAACTAGAGGCCTGCTTGGTTACAAGATGAACAACACTCCTCCTTCCAGAATCCAACCCCTTACTCAAGAATGGGATGTTTCCTCCCATGGCAACCGCCGCATTCTTACGGAGGTTTTTCGCCTGTTGCAAGTTTAGTCTAAACCTTTTTTTCTCCTCCTGGAGCAAAACAGTATTTAAAAAAGACAAAATTTAGATATATCTAGGTCTTTTTACATACAATTCCTCTTGGATGCGACTCACAGGCCCCAGATGCCAAGTCGTAGAGTCTGCTTTATTAGGAGCAGCTGGCTCCTTGGCAGGCCTGCGAGGCGGTCGGCCCTGTGGTTTTGGAGTGGCCTCAGAGCCTTGGATGCAGCTGGACAGCTATGCTGATGGACTAGCCAGTTTGTGTTCACCTTTGGCTATGCTGAATTTGTGCTCTTTCATCCACTTGAAAGTAAAGCCTTGGAAAGATTCGCCAGTAACACCGATATGTTGACTCTTCCCATCAATGTGTGTATTTCCTATAAAAAATAGGAGTGCAAGACACAGCCCTGCATTAAAACATGTGTTTTTTAACCAACTGTGAATACACACAAACCATTTCACTCTGAATAGGGGGGGTTTCAACTGCTGGTTTCTCTGTGTCCAAGTGCCATGCAACTTTAGCTCCCGATAAAGAGGATAAAATGAGGTAAGGTAAACTGTGTACAAGATAAACTGTGTATGATTTTACAGCTCACGCTAGCTAAATACTGTTCTATTTACACCCTACTGTACAAAGAAGTAATTTTTGAGAGCTTGAGGGTTTCTTCTATAGTAATGATGAGAGGATGCCACCAGTTTGCAGACCTGCTCATGAGACTTCGTAGCCGAGTGAATGGCCAATCTCATCCTGAACAAGAGATTATCAGAGTTGCAAGAAAAACGGACGCAGGGCAAATGTAATATGAAGACCGAGATGATAAACGCAGCACATCTTGTGCTGCAGGTTAAAACCTAACTCCGAGGCAGACCTCATGTTCAGTGAGGAGCCGCAGCAGCGGCAAAGATACTTTTCTGGTCCTTGGCCAGATGGAAAAGTGAATAAAAGAGAAACAAATGGAACTGGCAACACAGCAACCTCAAGTACTTTAGAAAGGCTGCAGTCAAGGGGCCCAAATCCTACTTTTCTTCCCGAGTTTGCACAGCATTCACCGATCTTGCAGCATCCCGACAAGATCCTCGTCTAGCTCCCATCTGGCCAACGAGGGCCTCTTGGATGCTTCCCCGCAGAACAGGATCCTTCCCCAGACAGCTACCGCAAACCAAACCAACGTATTAGTGTGCCTGTTGTCTAGCCTCTCTGCACAGCGTTTATGCAGAAGCAACAACCCCTCCGTCTGTCAACTTTTCCCTTTGTAAAGGGCCTCCAGTAAAAATGTAAGTGAAGTCAGAAGATGCAGAAAGACAGTAAGGCTCAGAGTCTGCTCAGGCACGTTTGTTGGATATATGGAGAGCAGTGGCTTGGAGCTCCTGGCTCCTGTTCTCTCTGCTGCCGTTTTATCACAGTGTTACCCCAAAAAGCCAGTTGTTTTGACTCCTTATGTCTCAGTTTACCACCCTGAAGTGATTTTTAATTTTTTTAACCTTGTCACATATTATATAATGTTTTGCGATTTCTGGATGAAAGGTATCATTGAAGAACACACCCTTACTTTAAAATGGAGAAAATACTATTAAAATTAACAACAAGAGTTAGCCTTAACTTTTGCAAATGAAAATTATTTCTCTTTACTATGATTTTTATTAGCAAAAAAAAAATGATTTCTAGTAAAACGTGGGAAGAAAAAAGCCCAGTCCTCCAACAGCTACAGTAGTCATGCAACAGTTAGACTAAATTTGAGATCTGATGGACCAATAAGTTGTTTTCTGAGACCTTTCAGCTTCACATATAAAGCTCTTGAAATTAGTAGGCTAAATACATGTGTGGCTTACGATTCCCCCAACCCCAGCATGAAGCACTACAGCTCCATAAAGCAGAAATTCAGGCAGAATTTGGCTCACTTTTCACTTCAAACAACATAAA